TTGTTCGATTGATTTTTGGCCCAATTGGTTGAGCTTGATTGGCTTTGTCGATCAATTTATCTAGTATGACTGTCAATCCTATATTTTTGGTGAGGAGTTCTTCTCGGTAGAGCAAGACTAAACTATCAAGTAAAATGTGAATTATCAGGTGAGGAGTTCTTGTCAGTATAGCGACAATAAACTATCGAGCTGATGGTGAATCACCTTAACTCGATAAGCAGTTTGCTCCTCGATATGGAGAGTGTGAGGGATGACTATAAGACACTTTGTTGCATCATTAATTTTTTATCTCTAATGAGAAGCCTCAGGAGCGTCCATGGGATGATCAATGGTACTGTGAAACTGAACATTTCTGCATTTTGTATGTTCTGGAAGATTCTCTGCTGTTGTTGGTTCTTTTTTATTGTAGTGTTTTCTCACATGCCTATTTGTCTAATTTCAATTTGAATGGCTTGGGCTCGCATCACTTAGTCGCCTTTTTTGTTCTCCTCGAGTCTCAATCAGTTTTAGCTTTGACTCGGGCACCTACATCTTGTCGGCTTTTACTTTGGCTCGAATGGTTGCATTCGGTCAATTAAATAGACCTCATTCTTCGCTGGTTCTGGAAGATTCTCTGTTGTTGTTGGTTCTTTTTTATTGTAGTGTTTTCTCACATGCCTATTTGTCTAATTTCAATTTGAATGGCTTGGGCTCGCATCACATAGTCGTCTTTTTTGTTCTCCTCGTGGCTCAATCAGTTTTAGCTTTGACTCGAACACCTACATCTTGTCGGTTTTTGCTTTGGCTCTAATGATTGCATCCGATCCATTAAATAGACCTCACAGTCTCATGTCGGCGAAGTCATTCTTCGCTGTACCAATCTCCTCTTGATTGTTAGTTCTCGTCAGGGTCATGGCTGGCACCCTTTTAATATACAAAAGTGACACACACACACACACACACAGATATATATATATAATGTTTCGCATGAAATAATATCGAAAAATATTTTTAATTATAAGGAACCTCACGTGACTTCTGTCCCAATCTCCACGAGTGGGCCCACGTCCACTTCCCGGTTCCCACAGCCTGCATGTGGGCCCCATGATTCACACGTGTGTAGTATGCTCTTTTTTCGGTCCGCATGTGCGATGTCCTCACCGGCCGACATGTAGACGGCGAGAAAGATAAAATAATGCCAATTTGCCATTAAAAAAATTATGGCTGGATTGAAGAATAATGACTATTTGTGTATTATAAATATTGATTTGCATTTGGAGTATATTTTTATTTATTAATTAAAGTTATAAATTTATATAATGTTTTATGGGGTGATGATGGAGTGATAAAATTATTATCTAAGATGCCATTTTGGAAGATTTACATAATAATTCATATTTACGTATATAATAAATAAATTTTATAATCCAGAGTTTCAAAGTGCAACCCCGATAGCTCGAAGTGAGAACAGGAGCACCTGACTTGTAGTTAACCCTTTGACGAGAGAGATTGTCATACAAGTATACAATCTGGCGTGTCAACCGACCGACACACACTTCGAAATGCATAGTCTCCACTCGGTCGGTCGTTGTAAACAATCAAGCTCAGACGGGTCGGCCAAACCAATTACCACCATATTAAAATTTAAATTGTAATACAGATATAGCATAAAATTAATATAGTAAATTAAAATATTAATCATATTAATAACGGTTTCCCTCTCATAAATATGGGACAAAAATAGGAATAAAAGAGACTCGTTCTCCCTCTCAATTATCTCTGAATCAAATTCTTGACTTGCTCTACATTTTTTTCTCTCTTTCACTCGAAAAATTATTTCATACAGACGGACACCATGCAAGATGCATGCAGTGTCCGATCCTTACAGTAAATCAGGTAGGATATATTTCGTCCTAATCGGTGGGCCCCACCTAAATTTTTTTTTTTTTAAAAGGAAACGGAAATAATCCTGATCGTAGATCACCGTGATCTAGACACCGCATGCAGAGATGCATGCGATATCCGTTCGCAATAATTTTTCCTTTCACTCGATTCTAACTCTCGATATATGTTCACAAAAGTTATATAATATTCTCTACGTATTAAAAAACTATCAATTTAAAACCCGGTACTTCATGTAGATATAAACTTTGTTATTAAATAGTAATAAAAATAAAAATAAGATTTTTGCCTAAAAACATAAATCTATCAATTAAAAATATTATTTCAAAATTTTTTACTTAAATATAATTTATTTTTCTATAAAATTAACTAATGCAACACCATATCAGCTATCATACAATCAAATGAGCAATTGATGTAGATAAACCTAATTTTAAATTTATAAGAAAAAAAAAACAGTTTATTCATTTTAGACCAATTTGTTAATTTAAAAAATAAAAATAAAAACAAAAAAAATGCTCCCAATTTAGGCCTTAGATATAAGACAGTAGAGATGCCTATAATTAAAAGTGGTCCTTTGGCTGATGAAATCTGTCTCCACCCCAACAGACCACAGTGAAAGCCATGGATGCTGATCTACCAAGCTTTTTCAGCCACATGCTTCCCTCATATATACATACATATATATATATATATATATATA